AAAAAAAAAATTTATATAAAAAATCATCAATATATATATATTTTTATTAAAATACCCATATATATATATATATATATATATATATATATATATATATATATATATATATATATATATATATATATATATATATATATATATATATATATATTACAGCGGAAAATTACACGCTACTTCGGCGGTGAGGTGACCGCATCGGACCAATCCGTTCCAATATTTGATAGTAAAAGATCGATGGACTCGGATCCCATCATCGGATTCCAATCAGCTATAACAGATTGAATCCAAATCATGTCAATCAAAGGGTCCCAAAGACACCCTGCTACCAACATATTTTGAATTATATTGATATTTACGACAATGGGTATAAAACAATGCTACAGAGCAAATGAAGATGAAGATCACCAAATAAATCACTTGTTCTATGTTAGAAAGAAATGTCAAACAGCATAAAAGAAAGTGATTATTGTCTGGAATGAGATGTGAATATAGTCATTCGTTTATACATCAACCATAAGCTACACACACTGAAGCTGATGTTCCAGGCAATATAATTCAAGCTTTAGAAAGTTGAACCATTCCACCCGAAGTCTGAACCCTGCAATAATCGAAATGTTGAGGTTATGCTGGGCATAAATGGAACAGATTAGGAAATAACACATCAAGTAATGCATATACTCATAGCTAAGAATACAAAAAGACTTGAACCAATAAATAGTTATTCACATGCCTATTGCTGATGCAAAGCATGCAAACACTGAGCATGTTCTTGTGCTTGATTGGCCTAACAAACAAGAAAACTGCGATGAGAGAAAAACCAAGAACTACTAATGACTCATACGGTGCTGCACTAAAGAAGCAACAGTGGCTTGCCTTTGAGTCGTAGAACTTCAGGAAGAAGCGTGACTTTGGGACGGACAGCTTACTCTCTAAAATAGTAGATATTTCAGCACTCAATTTCTTATTCACGTCCGGATTCAGTCCTCCGATGGACACTAATTCACCGTAAGCAGCAGCTTGCTGGGTTCCGCCAAATGAAATGGGTATTGATCCCTTCAGCACGACCATCACATACTGTTAACAATCATATGAGCATTTGGATCAGGTAAAGTAAATGGCAAATAAGATTAAGGTCAAACGAAATATATGAAGGCACAGGAAACACATCCAGAAATTGTAGCTGTAAAATTATATAAAAAAAGGTAAACCATATTACATGACAAAGGTAGAAGCACCGATATCTACTAGCTAATCATCTTATACTCCAAACCTACAAGTACAAGGAACGATCAACTTGTTGCAACAAAATCGAATGAAAACCTAATCATGTCAAGTGGATAATGTCAAATGGAAACTCGAGATTACATGAGAGAATATAAACAGGTTCTTATGTCCTTCACAAGAACAAGGATTACATGACTAACCAAAGTCAACTGATGATAAATTTAAGATATGGAGTCCTATAAGCACAAGAACAAAGAAACCAGTCTTAATTTCTTGTCCATGGAAATTAAAAGAAAGCAATAGAACGCAAGAATGAGCCAATATGAGAAGGCACATTGAGAAGGAACCAGAGGTGCAAAGCGATGCCATCTCTGATCATTCCCATGGCTTCTCCACTTCTTTTACACCTAAGTCAGCGATTTCTCTCAGAATTTGTTTTACATATAATTTCTCTAATATAGCCACGATCATCTAGTGAAAAGACAAGGTATAGCGGTTTTTAGTCAATACTAAATCTCCAGTTTTAGTGGACTGCAATGAAACATTCCACTACCTGGATTAAAGGACAGTCAAGATACGAATGCAAACAAAATGATTTAACAGTTTTTACAAGAAACAGTCTCTCCTTTCCAATGAAGAGGTACTGGATATTTTATTTTAATAATGAAACAATTAAATATGGACTGAAGGAACTAAAGTGGCATTCCTGTCAAAGGATAGCAGCTTATTTCTCTCCGTCTCTATTTTTATATGTCCCATATGCTATAGCATGAACACACATTTAAAAGAAATCACTGTTTTTGCAATCAATTTAATCAAACAGGTATCCAAATTTTGTCCATAAAAACCAGACATTTAAACATGTAATATGCTATTCATCCTCACCAAAAGAATACTAGCCCTCATAAGATTATGTCGCCATGGATTATCTCTTAACAAAAATGGACACGTGCGAAATCAAGAAATTAAACCTTTAAACTATCTGTGGATCAACGAGTGCCAATGTTACTTCACTGGTGTATCGAACATCAACATAAGCTAACAGCGAATGAGCTAAAAGTAATAATACAATATGCAAGTTGTTCCCTGAAGAACTTGTATACTTAGGTAAAAATGAGCACCAGGGTGATTATAAGATCATGAATTCCACCAAGTAAAAAATTGCTACACTTTCAACAAATGTTCCTATAAGAATCTGCAGTCAATCAACAATAATACAACAAAGTAAAAGGAATTCTTTTCTGAAGTCATTGCAACTCAATCAACTTCGATCACTAAATTTTGTCACATAATTCATAACAGATAGGAGAGAATTTATCAAATTATGGCATCCCTTCTCTATCCATCTTTGAATCTTCCTCTCGGTTTTGCTGTAGCCAAACAACTGGCCAATTCTTGGTCTCGTATGCGAAATCACAGAAACCTACCAACAGTTGTCCGGGCAATACACGTACCAACAGTTCAGAGACTGTGAAATCACAGAAAGCTTACTAGCACCCGTTAATTTCAGATTACAAAAAAACGTATCTTTTCTTATAAAAATGCGGTGCTAAAAGTCCAATCCCAAATATTAGAAACCCCTCACCGCATATCCGTCGAGACAATTCAAAATTTGGAAATATAGAAACAAAAAAGGGCTCTCTTTGCGACGGTAAAAGACGAGAGGGAAGACATACAGGAAAAGGAAATAAGAATCGGATAAAATAGGCGAGGGAAGGTGTCCACAGACAGATTCCGGTTTGCCGATGATCTTGGCGACGGCCTTGGTGGTCTCGGAGAGGACGGCGGAGGTGTCGACGCTCTCCAAGCTCACGTTCGTCGAGATGTTGAGGCACGGCATCTTCCGCTACCCCTCACTTCCAACAAACCTCTCCCCCACTCTCGCCCTTTCCCTAAAACCCTTGTAAGATAAACCGGAAATCCTCCAGATTCGTGCATCAACGATTCTACGGTGGGATGAACGACCTAGAATTTTCTTCTTTCTCATTCTTATAATAAAAAAAATCTTTAGAAAAATACAAAAAAAATTATATTTCATATTATGCTCAAATTGCTTCTGATCAGATTGAATCCGGAAGCATCCGTCGGTTTGGGTCGTGCGAATTCAAATCTCCTATCTGATAGATATCATCTGAAAGGGTCGGCGTTCGCTTTACGTTTCCCATCCAATCAAGTAACTCAATTGCAGCCGGACTATTCGTCTAAACGAACGGTCAATAACTGCTGGTTTGTAGCAAATTGATCGATGATTTGATGAGATCCATCAATTATTCGTCCCATCAACCCATCGAACCTGCAATTCACATCTGGACCGCCCACGTTGTTGCCTCGGTGTCATTGGCCTTGCCAAGCTGAACCAACGGCCATCCGTCCTGCTGGACCCCAACGCTGTCGTCTTTGATCGTTAGAGTCGTAACGTCCAACTCAGCCGTACAACAACCTTTGTGTTTAAGATGGGGCCCAGGCGGAGGGGGGGAAGTTTCTAGAGATGAGATGAGACCGAGGGGAGAAAGGAACCGGTCCAAAGAGTTTCCGAGGGGTTGACTGGTCAAACCGCGGGACCGAGTCCGTCAATCACGCCGTTGGGTCGTCCCTCTTCATTCCGTCGTTCCTTTCGCCGTCCGACATCGTGCAGCCCATTCCGTTAAAAAGAGAACCGAAAATAAAAGGGGAACGTTTTCTAAAGTGCAAAACAGATCAGAGAAATGAAGGGTTGTGATTGCTTCTTCTTGATCTGCTATGATGGACCGACCTTGCGGGCCCTTGCGGGTCCCGCCCTACGCTCTGATCGACACATACCTATAAGGGTAGCGGGCTTTTGTCTTTTCTTTCTTTCTCTTTGACGACCGCTCTTCGTCCTCTACAGTGACTATTTGTCCGACATACTTGCTCTGTGGTTGGGTCCGATCGTGGTCCCGGTGGGATCCACATGAGCTTCGCCAATAACGAGTTGGTTTCCCTTGGTTTATTACCCGAAATCCCAGGTACACTTTAAGCGACCAATCACGGGAAGTAGCGTACCGCTTTCCCATCTCCCGAGCACGACGAGTAATTAATCGCGAGAATGCCACCTCCATGTCTCTCTCTCTCTCTCTCTCCGCGTTATTTCTTCTTCCTACTGCCATACACCTAAATCGATCTCCGATTCATGACTCAGAATCCGCGTCTCGCTCGCAATTCCAAATAAACCGAACAAATTTCCACCCTTCAGTTTACCCCCAAACCCTAATCCTCTCCTCACATTGACTTGTACTTCCGTCCGCCCCTATAGGTCACAGCACTCGACGCCCATGAGCACGACTCCGAACCAGTGACAGTAGAATCTCACGGGGAGAAGAACGAGGAGGGGAAGAAGAAAGAGGCGGTAGATATATACATATCGACCATATGGAAGAGAACGGAGAGGAGAAGCTGATCGCGGCCGTCCGCCACATCGCCAAGACGCTGGGACGGACTGAGACCATGGCCGAGGACATCCTCCAGGTCTTCTCCGCCTTCGATGGCCGCTTCTCCCTCGACAAGCTATCGTCCGATCGCCCACTCCCCCGCCGACGCAGCCCCGCTGACTCCCCTGCTGCTGGTACCGCTGTCGCGGGCGGCGGCGGAACAACGGCTGGAGGACGGGAGGCGGACGACCCCCGGCCGCCCCTGGAGCGCACCATCCGCACCCTCGACCGTCAGATCTCCCGCTTCGTCGCCTCCGATCGCCTCATCTGGTCGGATGCAGCCGACGCCGCCGCGTTCCTCGAGGCCGTTGACGACCTCCTCGCCACCATGCGCGACCTCGAGTCCCCTTCCGGCACCGGTGACAAGTCCCTCTTCGACCGCACCGACGACCTCCTCCAGCGCTGCATGCTCCGCCTCGAGGAGGAGTTCCGCGCCATCCTCGACCGGCCCGACGGCTTTGCCGCCGCCGGTGGCATCTCCACCCCTCCCTCCGAGGACTCCGACTCCGACGGCGCTGATGAGGGCGAGGACCATGTTCCCGTCGCCGCCCCCGTCAACGACTATAACCTCGTGATCGACGCTCTGCCCCCAGGCTCCATCGCCGACCTCCACGCGATCGCCCGCCGCATGGTCGACGCCGGGTTCGGCCGCGAGTGCGCCGAGGCCTACGGCGTGTCCCGCCGCGGCTTTGTCGACGAGTCCATCGCCCGGCTCGGTCTCCGCCCCCGCGCCGCAGACGAGGTCCAGGCCACTCCCTGGGCCGACCTCGAGGACGAGATCGCCCGCTGGGTCAAGGCAGCCAAGATGGCCTTTCTCATCCTCGTCCCCAGCGAACGACGTCTCTGTGATCGCGTCTTCGCCTCCCTGCCCCCCTTCGCCGACCTCGCCTTCGCCGCCGCCTGCCGCCCCGCGGCCGCTGGTCTTCTTTGCTTCGCTGATGCTATCGCGGCCGGTCCCCGCGAGCCCGAGCGCCTCTTCCGCCTCGTTGACATGTACGAGGCTCTCCATGACCTCCTCCCCGAGCTCGATCATCTCCTCTCGGAGCAGTACTCTGCCACCCTCCGCGCCGAGGTCGCGGCCGCGCACAGGGCCCTGGGGGCGGCGATCCGGGGGATATTTATCGAGCTCGAGAACCTGATCCGTCGGGATCCGGCCAAGGCCGCTGTCCCCGTTGGCGGTCTCCACCCGATCACCCGCTATGTGATGAACTACCTCCGAGCGGCGTGCGCCTTTCGGCGGACCCTGGAAGAAGTCATGGAGGAGGATGCCACCGGGGTCACCATACCGCCCGACCCCCACCACCCGTCCTCGTCCTCCTTGTCCCTCCAGGTCGCATGGATCATGGATGTCCTGCAGTCGAACCTCGAGGCCAAATCCAAGGTTTACCCGGAGCCGCCTCTCAGCTTCATTTTCCTGATGAACAACGGGCGGTACATGACCCAGAAGGCCAGGGACAGCGAGCTGGGCGCCCTGCTGGGGGAGGACTGGATCCGGCGGCAGATGGCGATGGTGCGGCGGTGGGGCAACGACTACCAGCGAACGACGTGGACCAAAGTAGTGGCGGTGCTGCGGATGGACGGCATCGGCGGGGCCGCGGCGTCGTCGTCGGCCGCGGCGGGGAAGGCGATGCGGGAGCGCCTGCGGATGTTCAACACCTACGTGGAGGACATCTGGAAGGTGCAGGTCGGGTGGTTGGTTGTGGACGAGCAGCTGCGCACAGAGCTGCGTCTGGCCATCGGGGCGCTAGTGCTGCCGGTCTACCGAAACTTTGTCGCGCGGCTGCGCCAGGCCGGGGAGGTCGGCAGGCAGATTGACCGCCATCTGAAGTACAGCGTCGAGGATGTGGAGACCAGAATCAACGAGCTGTTCGAGGGGGGACGCAGGTGGTAGCTGTTATCAGCAGCAGCAAGAGAGAGTGGCCGCTTTCAGTGATGAAGGCTAAGTAGTTCCCAAGTAATGAAACCTACTTGTGTTGCCCGTACGAAGGCGTTCCTTGTTGTTGTTAGACTCAGTAGCTCTTGGATGTATATGTATGCTGGGGGTTTGCTGCCCCAATAGACCACAATGCAATCTTCTACGATTTAAATTGGTTGTTCTTTTCATATTTCCTGCTAACATCTGCTTCAGCAGCTCTTGGATGTATATGTATGCAGGGGGTTTGGTGCCCCAATAGACCACAATGCAATCTTCTACAATCTAAATTGGTTCTTCTTTGCAGAGGCCTTCAAACAGGATCTGTCCTGAAACAAGCTTGACACTGACAACAATCTTCTCAGATCAAACTGCCTCTGGTTTCAGTGAGCTAAACTTGAATCTCCATTTTTCGATCTACTCACTGTATGGTAACATTAATAGCCTCATTGTTGTTTCTTGATGTGTGATTTGTCAGATAATGAGGTGACAAGAAATCCAGCCGAAGTATGAGGTGACAAGAACTACTCTATTTGACAGTGATGATACATCTCTGTTCATAATGTGTGTGGTTTTCGCCTCTTCCTTGTCAGGCTATTGTTTCCTTACCAAATGCAGCATTCATGTGGTCGATATGGGATCTCCAGGTTACCTCTGATCTACATCTTCCGACGCTCACTCGGTGCAAAATGAAATGGTCGAAGAACTTGCGAAGTACAAGAATCAGCACATAAGCCACATCTCAGGGAAATAAATATCCTTTGTTCGATCGATACACTTAACGCAATGTGTTCGACTCTAATCAGCATGTTCTTATGGCACTACAATATCAGACGAATGCTTTAAAACTCCTGCACAGAGCTCCCTGTAGTATCGGGTGGCTGACCCGCCCATCGTCTACCAACCTAACAAGCACACCAAATACACAGAGGAAGAGTATGTGGACATATGAAGTAGATGGAACATGGCCTGTGGTTCTTCACTTGCATGGAAATGTTATATTTCTGATGGTGCCGCACATATCAGTCCTCTGTACTACAGGCCAGCTTTTGAGTTTGTGTTGTTGTGATTGCTCAACAGCAAGGTATCAGCTTGAAGGTCTGTGATCCTGTGAACATTGGGATCCATGTTGTGGTAGTGAAAGTTAAAGCAGATACTTGACGCACAGAAAAGAACCCTGACCAATCTGTCAGAGCAGTCATGCACTAGTATGGAGCTATATCTGTGGAGATTTTGTGCACTTTTGTCAGCTGCCTGCCACATTCTGTGATGCTGTAAATTGAAACCCTCTCTTCTACTCTGAATGATTTCTGATACCTCAAGCATATCCGATTCTACTTGATTCATGGATCTTAAACCTGAGATAGAATGCTCAGTCTTTTCTTCTTTTTCCATTGTTCTTTAGCATGTGCAGAAAAATGAATGTTGATGTGTGTGTTTCACAGAGACCAGAGTCTCTGTCTTTCTCATCAGACAAATACATGAAAGAAGAGACTCTGATGCCCACATATCTCTGTGCCATCAAACAGTTTGATTTGATCATC